GTTGAATGCCAATGTAAATACATTCAGATAATTATTTTGATTGAAGAAAAATTCAGACACTTAAAATTTATTTGAAACTTATATAATAAGTGTCGCTCTGAAACTACGTTTTAAGGGGATTGTTGTAGATTTTACCTAAATGAATTGAGATTTCCTTTTGCATATGTATTTAAAGTTTAGCAAATCCCTATTACATTTAAACTACTATAGCACAACAGTGAAATATATAGAGATGTGAAGAGAATTTGTTTTGAAAAATTCTCCTGGAAGTTTTTCTTTTTGTTTTGTTAGTGTTTTTCAGTTTTTCTAATTGTCCATCAAGCAGATGTCTACTTAGCTGAATTATAATTGTACTCAGAATCAAAAGATCTTTCATAGGTTTAAAAAATATGTAACTGAAACATTCCCACAGCAGTACTCCTTTTTCTTTGGCTTTTTGCTTTTGAGGCCATGTCTCTTTCCTGGAAGTTGTGATTTCACTGTGTAAAATGAATTTTATTCCTAGTTTCTTATGACCTTTATGCATTAGTTTGACAATTTACATAGTAGGCCATGTTTTGATTTATAACACTTTATAATGGAGGAAGTGTAAGTTGAAAGTTCATCTCCTTTGAAGACAAATTCTTTTTACATGTCCGAATAACTTATTTTAAAGGTATTGCCATAAAGGAGTCAGCAAAAGTAGGTGATCAAGCGCAACGGAGGGTGATGAAAGGTGTTGATGACCTAGACTTCTTCATTGGTGACGAAGCAATAGAAAAACCTACATATGCAACAAAGGTATGTTTTTATGATTTGTATAGATAAATAACATTTTCTTTCAAAAATTAGTTTATTCAATGATTGTACTCTCTGCAATTTTACTCTTATTATATAGACCTAATACCCTCAACCTCTTCATAATAGAAATATCTTCTCTGGGGCCCCTTTCCCTGTTGCTTTAACTCTCTGCTTTCCCCACCTCAGAAGAAACTTGGAGCCCTCTCATGTCAGCAAGCAGTATTTACTTTTCCATATCCATTGAATCTTAGGGCCCTCAATGTGATAATTACTTCCACCTTAGTATGTCTAGAGATATTTCCCTCTTATCTTTATTTATTTTATTATTTTTTTTGAGGCAGAATCTCACTATGTCACCCTTGGTAGAGTGCTGTGGCATTGCAGCTCACAGCAACCTCCAACTTTTGGACTTAAGAAACTCTCTTGCTTTAGCCTCCCAAGTAGCTGGAACCACAGGCGCCTGCCACAATGCCTGGCTATTTTTTTGTTGTTGTTGCAGTTGCTGTTGTTTTGCTGGCCTGGGTAGGGTTTGAACCTGCCAGCCTCGGTGTATGTGGCCGACGCCATAACCACTGTATTACGGGCACTGAGCCTCTCCCTTATCTTTATTCAGACCCATACTATTTCTCTACGTTTGAAGCTTATCTCATTAGGAAATCCTGCTTTCTTTTTTCCTTTCTCCCTCTGTGACTCTTTTCACTGAGATATAACATATGCAGTAAAGTTTGTTAGTGTTAATTGTACAGTTGAAATAATTTTTGTGACTGTGGTCATAGTAGTTCAAGATACAAAGCAAACCTTGTACCCAGAAGCATTCCTTGAGCTCATTTTCACAGTCACCACTTCAACCTTACCAAAAAGTAAATGTTCTGACCTTTATCATCTTAGTTTCTGACATTGACTGCCTAATTTGCAAATATCCTCCTTAGTATTTCTTTTCTTCCCTTCTGTCATAATTTATTCATTAATGAGCAACTATCAACTATCATGTAAAAATCTTTGCTAAGCACTGAAAATACACTTGCAAATAAGAAAAATAAATTCCCTGACTTCAAGGCTGTTAGATGTTGTGGAAAGGAAGACATTGAAGAAATAATTATAAGTGTGATGGTGGTTAGAAAAAGGAAAGAACAGGATGCTCTGAGCTTAAATCAAAAAGTAGCTAACCTAGTTTGAGGTTTCAGGAAAGTCCTTGAGGAATGAATGTTTAAGCTTAGGCTTGAAGAATAAAATGGGAATTAGCTGGATGAGGTATGTGGACTGAGTTGTTTTAGGCAGAGGCGCCAGTATGCAGGGCAGCTTTAAAGTAAGAGAGACAGGGAGCTATACAGCCATTGTGCCTGAAGCAATAGAGAATGAGGTGGAAAGAAGTGAGCATTGAAAATGTTGTTAGGTTATGTTAATGTACTTGAACTATATCCTATGGGCAACATTAATGGGTTTAACTAGAGGAATAATTTTTGTGCTTAGGATCATGAATATTGGAATCTGCTTGTTTGAATATGAATTCTGACTGTGCTGATTTCTAACTTTGTGATATCATTCAGTGATGTAACCTTTCTGAATTTCAGTTTTTTCATTTGTAAAATGTGGAGATGTTATTCATGCTTCAGGATTGTTGTGAGGCTTAATGAGAAGTTGTTGGCCTATGGCTTGATGGCTTATGGCTTGTGATGGCTTATGTTTTAAGCATTCTGGGAGGCAGGAGGATTGCTTGTCAGACTTCAAGACCAGCTTCAGTAAAAGTCAGACCTCATCTCTACAAAAGATAGAAAAATTATTCAGGTGTGGTGGTACACACCTGTAGTCCCAGTTACGCGGGAGGCTGAGGCAGGAGAATTACCTGAGCATGGAGGTTTGAGGTTGCAGTGAGCTATGATGACGCCACTATATTCTAGCCAGGGTGACAGAGAAAGTCTCTGCTTTCCCCCTCAAAGAAATTGTTA